GCTTAACCCACTGAGCCACCCAGGTGCCCCGAAGTTTATTATATTTTTAAAATTTAGTTTTACTCATACAGGTAATTCACAGATAGCCAGTGTGATAATTCAAAAGTGCAGATAATGTAAAAGGTTTTTATGACCCCCTCACAATCCCATTTCTCTAGAGCCACTGCTATTTGTGTGTCTGTGTGACATCCTAACCCGTTTTCTTTGTGTTACCAACATATGCATTCGTGGAATTGCATGGGCTATTTTGAAAAACATGTGTACGGAAGTGGAGATCTGTAGATTGCAAAATTGGCTGTATACTTTTCAGCTATGTTCATTGAGAGATGGAGTTTTTTTCCCCCACCCCTTGAATCCAGCTAGCCCTGTGACTTGCTTTGACCAATATAACACAGATGTGATGTTTTGTTAGTTCCAAACCCAGAGGCTTCATAGCTTCTACTGTCACTGTCTTGGAACTCAGAAACCAGCATGGGAACAAACCTGGACTAGCCGTCTGGAGACCAGAAGACCACATGGAAAGAGGTCCCAGATGCTCTAGTCTATCTACCAGATGAATGTAAGGGTCTAAGTGAGCCCACCCGAGATTAGCGGAGCCCTGGCCAAACCGTAAGAATTACCTAGCTGGGTCTAGTCCAAATTACTGACCTGCGTAATTTTGAGCTAAATAAATGTTGTTCTAAACAACTAAGTGTGGAGACTGGCTGTATTATGAGCAGAAGCAAACTGATACTAGACCATATAGTATGTAGTTCTAATAATTTTTTTCTTTACTCACTATGTTACAAAAAGTTTGGCTTGTCAATGCATAAAGATCCATCTTCTTCTTTTTAAGAGTTACATGAATTTCTATATTATGGATATTCTACAGTTTAACATTTGCTCTATGCCAGACATTTAGGTTGTGCCTGCCTCCTTCCTTCTCTCCGTCTCCCCTCTATTACTGTATTGTAAGTATCTCTATAGTTGCTGTATGCTTCCCCTACTCTGTCTTTTCTCGGCTAATAAGGGCGATCTTTTTCATAGACATTTAAAAAATATAATTAAATGTATCACTCTTTTTCTTAATGGCTTCTCTATTCTAAATTTTGCTCAAGAGCAGTTTCCCAACCATAAATATAATCTCTTTCTAATACGGAATTTTATGTAAGTATCTATATGTATGTGTGGGTGTGTTAGGTTTAATTCATTAATCCTCTGAAATTTATTTGTCTTTATAGTGTGGAATTGTGAATATTTTTGTCGACTGGATGGCCAAATGTTCTAAACACCATTTAGGGTAGTTAAATCATTTTGCACTGATTTGAAATACCACCTCCACTCCGCATTTAGATGATCTGCTTCAAAACTCTATTCTGTTCCATTGATCTACTTATTAGCCTGTTAGCAGATGAGTAACAAAATGACCACTACAATGTAACGTACTGCATTATAGTATGTTTTGATATTGTCAAAGTATATTTTTCAAAAAATGTCTTAAATATTCTTCAGTATTTTCTCTCTCAAAATAATTTCAGAGTCAGTTAAAATTCCATGAAAAAGTCATTCTGGAATTTTCATAAGGCTTACATTAACTTTATAGATTAATTTGCCACCAGTTGAACTTCTAACAAACTTGACTGTTGTTGTCAATGATCATGATATGCCTTTTCACTTATTTCCTATGTCCTTTGGTAAAATGTTATGGTTTTCTTTTTTAATATATTGCATTCTTATTCTTTGACTTAGTTCTCTGAACTACATGGTTTTTTTAAGCTATTTACATTTTCTAATACTTTTTTTTAATTTATAAAATTTTTTTATAAACATATCATGTATTATTAGCCCCAGGGGTACAGGTCTGTGAATCGCCAGGTTTACATACTTCACAGCACTCACCATAGCACATACCCTCCCCAATGTCCATAACCCCACCACCCTCTCTCTACCCTCCTCCTCCCGTCTAAACATTTTAAAATTTAATTTTGCTCATGTTTGAGAAAATTAATCCTGAAAATCGTTTTCTTTAAATCTGACCATTTTGGCAAACTCATTCATTCTAAGAATTTGCCACTTGATTCCTTTGGATTTTCTGGGTAGATAATCATATCATTTAATATCATGAGAGTTTCTTATTTTTATTTTACCTTTCATTTCATTATTTTACTTTTTTGTTTCTGATACTGAATTTGCTAAAACCCACTGTGTATTCGTATTAGCCCACGCTGTCATAACTGGAGACTACAGTCTGAGTGGCTTAAACAACAAAATACATTTTCTCATAGTTTGGAGTCTGGAAGTCCCAGATGAAAGTGCCAGCAAGATTGTTTCTGATGAGACCTCACTCCTCAGCTTACAGACAATGCCTTCTCATCGTCCTCTCCTTGCCCTTTCTCTGTGTGCGCTCAGAGAGCGAGTTCTGCTATTTCTCTTCCTCTTCTTACAAAGACAGGAGTCCTCACAGAGTAGTCCCATGCTTATGCTTCATTTAACCTTAATTATCTCCTTAAAGGAGATATTTAAAGGAGATATTAATTATCTCCTTAAAGGCCAAATCTCCAAATACAGTCACATGGGGGATCAGGGCTTCAACATATTCCATTTCTGGGATATCATTATAATCCCATTTCTGAATTAGCATTAAAAATAATATTTTTAGGGGTGACTGGCCAGCTTAGTCAGTGGTGAGGCATGTGACTCTTGATCTTGGGGTTGTGAGTTTGAGGCCCACGTTGAATGTAGGGATTACTTAGAAAAAAAAATCTTCTGAAAAATGGCTTAGGGCGCCTGGGTGGCTCAGTGGGTTAAAGCCTCTGCCTTTGGCTCAGGTCATGATCCCAGAGTCCTGGGATCGAGTCCCACATCGGGCTCTTTCCTCAGCGGGGAGCCTACTTCCTCCTCTCTCTCTGCCTGTCTCTCTGCCTGCTTGTGATCTCTGTCTGTCAAATAAATTTTTTTAAAAATCTTTAAAAAATGGTTTAAAAAATAATTTTTATTTTCTGTTCTGAATATCTGAGAAATAATGTGTGCAAAATGTGCAAAAGAAACAAAATCAATTTGATATAAATAAGAGCTATCACATAGGTTTATTTGAAAAAGATATGTTTGTGCATAGAGTACCTAGTTCATGGTAGAGACAGACCAAAATTAAAAAGTACTTATTGATTGACAGTAAAAGTGCCACAAACCTTTGTTATTATGTGTGTGTTGTGTCTAAAATGTCCATAAGTAATTGTGTTTAATACCATACAGATAGGTGGTTTATGTTAAAAAAGCAGTCATTCATGTTTTCCTATTCATTTAGTAAAGATTTGCAGTTGGACAGCAATACAAAGACATCATCTCTTCCTGGTATTTGAAGACCTTAAGTTATTCTCCTTGAACTAAAGTGGTAAATACTGTAATAAGCAAATCTCAGTTTCTTGCTATCGCAAGGAAATAGACAAAATATTATGGTGATACAGTAGTTTTTAATTCCTACTCCCTTATGAATTAGAAATTTTTGGCAAAATACCACATTTTAAGTCACAAACAGTCTACTCTGAGCAATTCCCACTGAAAATTATTCTTAAAACTTTCATTCATTGAAAAAAATGATATAAGATGACTTAGGTAAAGGATTAACATGTTTTAAGCACATTGTAAACTTTCAACAATTGTTAGTTACCTCCTAATCCTTAAAAGAGCAAAAATTAAAGATACGCATGATGATAAAAGGATACTTGATATATGCTTTATATAGGTTACCCTTTCTGCAAGAAAGAAGACTTCATTCTTTCTCCTTCTTTCTAATCCATATCCAATCACAAGGAGGCTCTTTAAAACTTCTTTATTATTGAAGTAGAGTTGACACACAATATTATATTAGTTTCAGGTATACAACATAGTGAATTGACAGCTTTATACCTTACACAATGTTCACTATGGTACTACGGTACCATCTGTCACCATATGACATTATTATAATATGTTATTACATAATATTTATATTATGTAATATAAATATTAATTATAATATTATGTATCATGTATTATGTAAAATATTATGTAATATAATATTAATTATAATATTATTATATAATATTATAATACTACTATTCCCTGTATTCCTTATGCTATACTTTTTATCCTATGACTTATTTATTTTGTAACTGGAAGTTTGTGCCTCTTAATTCTCTTTTATTGCTTCACCCTCCTTCCTTCTGGCAACCCCAGGTTGTTCTCTGTATTTATGTCTATCTGTTTCTGGGTTTTGTTGTTGTTGTTGTTTGTTTTGTTTTGTTTTGTTTTATAAATTTCAGATATAAGTGAAATTATATAGTCTTTATCTATGTCTAACTTATTTCACTTAGCATAATACCCTATTGTTAAAATGTCCAAACCATGCAAAGCGATCTATAGATTGAGTGAATTCTCTGTCAAGGAAAGTCTTACTACAAAAAAATGAACACATTGACTAAAATCCCAGACTTTTACAGACATGACTGGGCTCAGATACCCTTGCGTCTAAACCCCTGCTCTGCTCCTTTATGGCTTGGTGACCTTGGCAAGTTCCTTGTTGTCTCTCATCCTCAATTTTCCCATTCATAAATTTAGGATAATAATACATTCCTTATGGATTTTCTGTGAGAAGTACATAAAATAACTTATATGAAATCCTAAATAGGAACTCAGTAGATGAAATATTATTATTACTAATAAACACTGTCATATTTTCTTGCATACTGATATAATTTGAAATATTTAACTTGTTCATGGAAATGAGTCTGCCTCAAGGAGTCTAATTTCCAACCATGATTTTTAAAAAAATCTATGTGAACGTTTGAGTTTCTTGTAATATTATATCTAGGACTCCAAATTTTGTTCTCAGATGAACCAAAGACTAAAATATCCTTTGTTAATGGTGGAAAATAAACAGCTTCTTAGGAAATAAGACTTCGTCATGCAAGAGTATATAGATTTATGTCCAGTTCTTTGATTAAAAAAAGAGAAAAAGCCGGCTTTTTCTCAAACCACTATAGAATAACAATTATGACTCTCCACTTTTTATTTTTATTGCTGGATTGAAAAAGATGATTCTGTACAATGCCTACACCAGGAGGATATTATTCTACAAATAAGGGCCCAGCGTGACATTTATGAGAAAGCCAGGGTCCTTCTGTGCAAAACTGATTGGTGCTCAGCCAATGGGCTCCAAGGCATTGCAAATAAAGGTACCTTTTCCACTGGGCCTGATCAGAAGCAGGGCAGAGTGTTGCTTCTGCCTATGAAACTTCAGGAAATGCTCCAACTCCTGTCCTAGCAGACTACATCTGAGGTCAACAAAGAGAAACTGGGCTTTGAAGATGAAGCACTTTGTTCCTCAATTCCCTTCCATCTTGGCCATCTATTGCTTCTGCATGGTACAGATTCCCTCTTCAGGTAAGGGGACCCCTTCATCAGACTCCCATCTAGCCTGAGCTCTCAGGAAGACTGAGACAGACCTTGATCCTTCAGGGCAGTTCTGGAGGGAGTCAAACGTAATCCCCTCACCTACCCCCATTTCCACCCTTTTGAAATGGCTTCTCATTTGTCTCTAATCTTTAAGAAAGGGTGGACAGAATTAGATGCTGCAGCCTTTTACCAAAAGAGACAACTTTCCCTTGTGGAACTTTCTTTAAACAATTCTTGATTCAGGGCTGTCCCAAAGATGTGCCACTGAAACTGTGAGGGATATGATTTGGGACCCCAATGTCTTAGCCATCTATACTCTGGGAATTCTGACGAGAGGAGAACAGACATAGTGAAACTGTATTTACAGACCCAAAGACTGAGGATTGAGGGACAGTTGGAAAGGGGTGGGGAGGAAGCAGAAACAGGGAAAAAAGGAATATTTTCATAGCCTTTCTGTGGGCTCTCAGGAGGCAGGATCCCAGACAGACCTTCAGAGACCCCGAATCTTCCTGGGTGTGGGCGCTGTCCGAGGTGCTGACTGGACAGCGGTGTTGCTTCATTAACTTCTGAGAATCAGTATGATTGCAGGGGATGAGGGAGGAGTGGGGTGTGGGGTCAGTTGTCGGAATGTGCTACCCATTTCAAGGTAATTTTCCAAATGATGCAGGGAAGCATGTAATGGTAGCTCCAACTGGAAGCTGGAACTATTTCAAAATTTCAGATTTTGCCATTAGAAATTTGATGTAGGGGTGTAGAAAATCTTTGAAAATATATTCAAACAGAAAATATATTTTTGAACAGTATGTTTGTTTTGCTATGTTCTGTAGTGTAATCACAAAACCTAGGCATTGTAAAGAACCTTGGAAGTCATTTAACCTTTCATGGAGAGCAGGGATCTATGATTTCCCTATTTGATTACTTTCTGTGATACCCAACTCACTACCAAACTAAGAGAAAAAGTAGCTGCTTCTTCTGGGGTCCAGTAAAATCTGTGTTACACTTTTGGGAATTTGTTATTACTTTTTATCTGTCTATATATTTATATCCACTTCCCCCTTTTCCTACTTGATTTTATGTTTCCCAAGAGTAGGTCCCTATGGTCTTTATCATTGTACTGTTAACACAGAACCTCTTAATAAATCTTTATAAGATTCGTTCAAATTACTTTGCATTTTTGAATGGCTCTAGTCATCAAAATTTTCTTTACACTAAACTAAAATCTGATCATATGTAACCTCTAACCATTAGCCCTAGTTCTATCCTTTGGGAATACAGAAGAGTACTAATATCTTGTATTTATGACAGTTCTCAAAATAACTGAAGGCAGTTAGCATACATGTCCTAATTTTCCTCTTTGCCAAAGAGGACTATTCTTAGTACCTCTAACTCAACTACAAATTCTATCATTTCAAGTAGGATTATCACCTTTCAAAGCTTGGACACTATTACTTCTATATAGCACAAGATTGCCTCAGCTTTTTCTTGGCTCCTAGAGAGATTTCAAGAAGTAAAATATCAGTATTTTAGATCTATACTACTCTTGAGCCATATATTCCCTGTCCTACATTTAAAAAATCTAAGTTCAGGGTTTTGCATTTATCCCATTTAATTTCATCTATCCAGTTGATTCCTTCAATTGCTGTATTAGCTATTCTCCAAGTGTTGTGTCATGCACCAATGAGATGAAGACTTCATTTAAGTCGGCTAAAGATTGACTGGCATAGGTTGCTGCTGTGTGCTGGTAACACTCTTACCCAGAACCTACCCCTGAAGAGTCTGATGAGGCAAAGAGATGAGTATCTGTATTTCTTAAAAGTTCCAAGAGTGATTTTGATGCACATACTTTCTTTTTTTTCTTAAGATTTTATTTATTTATTTGACAGAGAGAGATCACAAGTAGGCAGAGAGGCAGGCAGAGAGGTGGGGGGGGGCAGCAGGCTCCCCGCTGAGCAGAGAGCCCAATGTGGGGCTCGATTCCAGGACCCTGAGATCATGACCTGAGCCGAAGGCAGAGGCCCAACCCACTGAGCCCACCCAGGCACCCACATTTCCAGATAGTCTATCTTCAAAAATTGCATCAAAATACAAATTATATTGTACCCAGGTGTCTTTTCCCTTTTTCTGGAGTTACTAACTCTTATACTGCTAACTCCTGATAAATAAAAAAACAATTTTTCATTAATTTTGGTACAAATCTCAATTTACTGTTGGTAGGTAAAAGTGTGTTTTCTTTGTAAATCCTTTTAAAAATACTGTATTTTTAGGGCGCCTGGGTGGCTCGGTGGGTTAAAGCCTCTGCCTTCGGCTCGGGACATGGTCCTGGAGTCCTGGGATCAAGTCCCGCATGGGGCTCTCTGCTCAGCGGGGAGCCTGCTTCCTCCTCTCTCTCTCTCTGCCTGCCTCTCTGCCTACCTGTGATCTCTGTCTGTCAAAGAAATGAATGAAATCTTTAAAAAAAATACTGTATTTTTAGAATCTCTATAGGTTTTTCATGATAAAGATTTAAAAACTAATGCTATGACTTCCCCCCATTAATACTTTTATGATTTCTCACAATAGGATTTCCTCGACCTCTAGCTGATCCCCCAGATGGCTTGGATATCATGCAGCTTGAGGTACACTGCTGTTTAGTAATGTGAGATTTTTTTATTTAGTCTCGGCCTTGAGAATATCTTGTGGATAATGTTCACTTGAAATGATTTTAGGATCAGATTCTTGGATGCGGCAGGAACTCATGTTGCCATTTTCATGACCTCACTTAAGGCATCCTGAGAGTTGTGTTGAAATTCACTGCCATTGTATGAGAAGATATTGCAAAGTTCATAAATGGGACAATTTTAGAATTTTATGTGTGTTTTAATAGATTGCTATTGACTAAAGAATTTATACTGACCTTTAATTCATTCTTTGTATTTTTCTTTAGCGGCTGGCATATTGGGCAGCTCTTTCTAGGCAACCTAAGGTAAAAGAAAAATAACATATATGTAATAATTCTTTTCTTTTTATCTTTATTTTAATAAAAGATTTATTTATTTATTTGGGAGAGAAAGAGAGAGAGAGAGAGAGAGAGTCAGCACCCCTGTTAATAGGGGGTGCTGAGATCATGACCTGAGCTAAAATTAAGAGTCAGGCACTTAACTGACTGAGAAACCCAGGTGCCCCCATGTAATAATTCTTTTAGTTATAAGTGTACATGTTTATACTATAATTGATATCTGTAATAAAAGCACACTTTTTTGCTGCCCACAGGAGAAATCTGTGTGTGTGTCTAAGTAAGTGGGTAAGAATGCAGTTTTAGTAAATAACCAGTAAATCTCTCAAATACAAAATACTATAAACTATGGTTAGTTCGTGTATATTCTTACAATTATCATTATAATGTATACATGTGTAATTACATTAATTATGTATGTTGTGACATATCGTGACATACGTTACAGATTGGTACACTATAATATAATAGTTCTTCAAAAACAGTAGATCTCATGTAAAGGACCTAACAGTGATAGTAACCACAACAGAAATGTTTCCATGGATACAAAGTTGATACAAAAATCAACAAAAATGTTGATTCAATCAAAAGTGCAAGAGGGTGGTGTTAGGGTGGAGTCCATGATTCTGAAGCATAAACCGAATGTTTTCATGTTTCTCATGTTTTCACCTTGAGCTATATCTTTTCTTTCTCCTTCCCCTCTCCCAAGCCACAGCATACTGCATCCTGGCCACATTGAACTTTTCATTATTCCCCAAATGCACCAGGCCCTTGTAACTGTGCACAGGCTTTTCCGTAGCCAAAAATACCTTTGCAGGCTGTGTTAGGAGCTCAGATTCTAAAACCAAAGTACTTGGGTTCAAACCTCTATCTCCTTAGCTTTGGCAAGTTTCTTAATCTCTCCGTGTCTTGGTTTCCCCATTTGTCCTATGGGAATAATTGTTATACTAGCCTCATAATGTCATTGTGGAGTTTGAGTGCTTGAATCTCTGTGGAGTGTTTTCAACAGTGTCTAGAACACAGTAAATGAAAGCACTCAAGTACCAGCTGCTACCATTGTCCCTGATGCAACTAATGTCCCTGATGCCATTTCTCTAGACTCGAACATTACTTTCTCTCTCTTTTTACATTTTTTGAAAGATTTTATTTATTTATTTGAGAGAGACTGAGAGAGCACAAGCAGGGGGAACAGCAGAGGGAAAGGAAGAAGCAGGCTGCCCACTGAGCCGGGAGCCTGATGAAGGGCTCGATCCCATGAGCCTGGCTGGGATCATGACCTGAGCTTAATGGACTGAGTTGCCCAGGTGCCCCTACTTTCTCTCTTCAACCTCATAAGTATATCATGCCTATTTCTTCTTATTTTCAGTTTGTCCTTATGCACATGTCTGAAGAGAGTTGTCATCTCTTATCTTTAAAACTAATCTTTACAGCCTTGCTACCCAGAGCAAAACTTTAGGGCAAAGATTCAAAGTTTTCCATCTCCTTGCTACTGCCTCTTCACATCACACAGGATAAGCTTCCCTGTCCCTCACATGAAGGCTGGGAGGGTGTCCCCTGCAAAGCAGAAGAAGTGGAAGTGCAGCTGTCACATGTGGGTTTCCCCAAATGCAAGGGCTCACCTGAAATGAATTTCTTTCCACTTTCTCCATTTTCCCAAAGCTGGTCCTCTTTATCATTTTCAGTTATAGAAGAGCAAAAGGTTGTTCAGTGAACAAAACTATCAATATTTTACATCAATTAACAGAGACATTGTGGCTCTTCCTTGTCTTGCCGCTGCATGAAAATAGGACATTTGTCCTGTCACGTCCTCTCCTGGAACTCTGGTTCCCTCATCTATCCCTCGTCCAGATGAGCTACCTGGACTCTAAGTCCACTTCCCATTCTGGGATCCAGAAAAGCCAGGTTTGTGCCTCCAGGGCCACTTTTATCTTTAAGCAATTCAGAAAGCAGAGTTACGTTCTACAAATAATGGCACCTGCAAAAAGTCTTCTGTTTTGTGTTTCTGGTGAGATCAGAACTTTAGATAGGAAAGGGAGCAATAGATTCTTGTCAATGCAGTTCTACTATTCATCTGTTCAAAGATAAATACTTACTGAGAGCATGCCGTGTGTTCAGTGCTAAAGGTTCAGTGCTGAACATAACAGACAAAACTACCTGCTCTCATGAAACTTAAGTTCTGTTGGGGAAGTAAATAATAAATTAGATAGGTAAGTACATTTTGAAATACTGTTTTTTCTCTGTAAAAAGAAAAAAACTAAAGCAAGGAAGGTGCATATGAAATGTGGAGTTTGAGCACCTGGAAAATCATCTTCATATTCCTTGTTATTTTTTGGCTTGAAACATAACAGTATAAAGCTGATGAATATGGTACATAAAATCAATTGTTTGCCCAATACATGTCCAGAAAACACACATACACTCACACACACATGACAGGGCAGGTGTGTGTGCGTGTGTGTGTGTGTTTGTGTGTGTGTGTGTGTAGTATACATAAGCATGGGCTGCTTCCCATGTAGAAACTTCACATTTTGTAAGATGATGTAATTGTATCAACAGCCACAAATTAAAAATGTTATTAACAATTTCATTTCTGTCTTGATTGAAGTGTGAGCTGATTCAAAAATATTTCAGTGTGATTGAGATGTGAATGATCTATATTAGCGAGATCAGCATATTTAAAATATCTTCCACAATAATCATTTCAAGTAATTTTATAAAATGCGGAAATGGAAACCTGATTTATTGTTTTGTAAGATGTCTTCTTCACAATAGGATCCTGGAGTAGAATATACTGCAAATACAACCATCCCCACCTGTCATCTGTGCAAACAAGGGTGAGATGGTGCTCTAAAAAGGATTTAGAAAGGAAGAGTTGGGCTTTCTACAAAAAGAGTGGAGGTTCATGTAGAAAGCTTTTTTTTTGCAGGGGGAGACTTTGGTTGATTTGAGCCAACCCTTAAAAAAGAAACAAAACCTGAATTCTAGAGTACACCCAGGAAAAAATTAAAAATTGCTATCATTAATTTTATTCCACTCTTTGATGGTTATCTGGGAATTGCTTATGGGATTGCTTCTATGCACTACAGAGCATGTTTTTCTCCCCAAGATTAGAAAGGTAAAATGAGATTCAGTCTGAAAATAATGATGTATTGCTGGCAACTTGCTCTTTGGTAAGACCCGGCATCAACTATAGTCTTATTAAGTTTGGATTTCGTTTTAGACTGCCAATTTATTTCATAATATTCGATTAAATTCAATAAGGTCCATGGTGTAACTTGTATTAAAAACTTCATCAGTTGCCTGCCTCAGTAAAATTCCATGTAACTTGCCCTCACAATTCTCTTTCTAGGATGATCAAGACATATACAAAAGGGTGAGTACCACCCAGTCCTCTGGCAATGCAGGCATGTGAATTTCATGTTGATAACAAGTAATGTTGTGCTAAACTCAACTTTTTTTTTTTTTTACTCAGTTTTTATTTCACTACTCCAGAACTCAGAAGCCGATACATCCAGTTAAAAGTGGGGTCAGTATTTTACTATACTCATCCTTCTGTAAATGTGACTCTTGTCTGCTTGTCTTTTATCCTGTCTTAATTAATATGTGCGAATAAGTAGAAAAGCTGGGGGCTTGCAGACACTGTCTGTGTAATAGCTTTCTAAGAGCTTTTTCCTGGGGCTTCAGGGATTCTCTCTCTCCCAGTCTGGGCTGGAGGTGGTACGAGGCTGATAGATCTGAAAAGTTAGAGAATATATTCCAGAAAAGGAAAAATAAGTGAGGAGTAACTTTTTATTATGCACTTTAACAGATGTTTGAAAAAGACCTGATAAATACTGAGCTCAATTTACATTTATCGTATTACCTTATTTTTATTTTAAAAAGTGCTTTGTGACGTGTAAAATGCCCTATCCCAGATAGTGATCCACGCAAGGGCACCTTCTGTAGCCATCACTGTGTATATGTGCTATGGGAATAATGTGGGTCGCCTTGTTGTTATTAGAAATTTGAGTTACTCTCAGAAGCAGGTTGTGTAAGTGAATTTCTGCAGGGTATGACTTGAGGAATATTAGGAAGGTCACAAAATAATATTTTTTTAATTCAGGAGCTCTGTTACAGTAACTGAAATTCTACCATTCGAAAGTCACTTATTTATATAATCAAGGCTTTTCAAGTCTTCAAGAACACGTTTAAAAAAATACTAGTAAAGTGTTTTTTTCCCTAAGAGGCATAGTCTCATCTGTAGTGTAGGTTTAGGAATGAGGATTCCAAGTGAGGATGAGGATAGTATCAGGAAGGGCCAAGGACACTATAAAGGGAGAAAAGGCAATGGAAGGAAAAAGATAAACTCCGTGACACAAATGAACCTTTACTCTGAGCCAAAATACTCAGGGAGGATTCACATAAACTGGGAATAAGACACAGGTATGTATATCTGAATGTGTGCCACAGTCACAGACAAGGACAGGAAAAGCAAACACCTTAGGGAAAGCACATTCGGGGTGCTGTCCTTCCACTTCCTCCCCTGGACTAGGAGAGAGGCCTGGAGCGAAAAAGGACGGTGCACTCCACCCTAAAAGGACAGAATACTTGGTGAGAAGGCAAAGAAAAATCTGATTCACTCTAAGGGAATATTTGTAGCGATGTGTTGGAATTGTAACCTGCTATAAAGGCAAGCAGTTCTTTAGGGAAAACCTAAAAGTTTCAAGTTTAGGCATGGACATGGATTTTATTCTGGACATCAAATCCGTCTAAGGGAGGGCATGGAGAGGACAGCATAGCCTGGGCTGCCTCCGGGCGGGCGTCCAACCCCCCCTCCCCCCACCCCTCTGTTGCAGTTTCCTCCTGTGCACCCGTTAATGCGCATGGCTGCGCAGCTCGCCAACCAGAAGGTGAAAAGATTTCTGCAACAGCGTGTAGGTGCTTTCTCTTGGGCACTCTTTTTATGCCACCGCAAGTTCACTTTACGTGGTAAATGCGTGTGGGCGCTGGGCGCTGGGGGAGGGGGGAACAGGGATGGGGGCGGGGGGGACGGGGAGGGGGTGCTTACTTGCACGCTGTCTTTGAATCTCAGCCTCCACCTTGGGAAGGAGAGCTGGCCCAGCCTTGGGCCACAGTTCCCTACCTTGAATCCCACAGAGTGGCTGCAGGGCCCGGGAAGGCCCCTAGGATAAAGACGTCCTCTTCTCTTCCGCTCTCATCTTCCATTCATTTCCTTTTAGTTTCCATACTGTTTTTTCACTTTCCCGGAACATTTCTCTTCCTCTTGACATGGACATTGCCTTGGTGATCCCCTGGGCTCTCCGTTGTTCCTCCACCTGCCCTTTTGTCCTATCTCAGAACTTTGTTTCTTTTAAATATAGCTCTTTATTTGTTTGTTTTGTTTTTGGGTTTTAGAAATTACCAGCTTCAGTAATAAGTATAGCTGTTCGAAATGCCCATCGAAGTTTTATTACATTGTAGCCAAAAAGGGAAGGAAGGAAGGAAGGAAGGAAGGAAGGAAGGAAGAAAAGAGTATTTCTTAGAGAAAAGAGCATTTCTTCCACCAAATGCTGAAACTCGTCCCAGTTTGCCCAGAACATTCCTGGTTTTAGCTCTGAAAATCGCCAGACCCCACCCAGGAAACTGCTCAGTTCCTGGAAAATAGGTTGGTCATTTTAAGCACCTGCAGCCGTGTGTCTTGTCTGATCCAGCTGCTGACTGCAGCCTTCCAGATTGAGTCTGATCCGTTGTTAGGAAGCTGCCAGGACATACCCTTGGACTGGGGCATCAATCTCAAGTTGACACTGTTGGGAAGAGCAAGCCAATGTGTCCATTGTCCTGGACACAAATGGTACTTCAATCAAGAGAACGTGCCTGTCTTCCAGAGCAGGCAGTTATAATTGGCTACATGGTTAGTCCTTCCCTAACTGCTTTTTTGCATCCGATTTCTGGTACCAGGAGGCATGGGGTCACAGCCAACTGACGGTAAGCCTGGGGAATGCGGTTCCTTGTTACATTAACCTGTGCCTCATTCACTCACAGGATTCGGGGACTGCTGCAGTGGATTTCACCAAGAAGGTAAATGTGGAGAACCCAACTCCAACTCTTGCAGATCTGCAAGAGAAGTGCTTGGAGCTGGGCAATCTTGTCACCCCTTTAGATCACTTCTGGAAAGAACTGGTATCACAGTAAGCCCCCTGAAAATCTTCTCTGAGGCTGAGCGTTTACTTGCAGGTTTTCCTGAGCTTGTCCTGAGGCAGTGAGGACTCACTGGACAATGCTTCTGGCTGTTCATATTTCATCTCCAGCCTTGCAGATGAGTCACCTGGACCCATCCGTTCCTGAGGATTTGCTTTATGTGACTCAGGGGCCCACATGGCCGTTGTACAAACTTGGGGAGAGGTACTGCAAGTGCATAAGCCCCATCTACCAGCAATTGACTCTCCAAGTTGACCATGAGTCATCCATACCTCAGGACGTTTTAAAAATTCAGATGGCTGGGCCCCAACTCCAGGTAGTCAGTAGAAACCTGAGAATTTGCATTTTTAACCAAGTCTCAGGTGTCACTGATGCTTTTGGTTGGGGACCACAGTTTGAAACCTGTGGTCATGACATCTTCAGAAGACCTTGAGCACAAAGTGGTTGTATAATGGTTTGTGTTTTTATGTTGCAGGATCACACTGCCACCGGGGGACGACCATTTTTCCTTTTCAGGGTATAGTATTCCTTTTTCTCTGTTTTTAACTCCAATTCCCTTCTGGCATGCAGTTATGGATTCCTCCAGAATGAGCACAGTCCAGCACCCCACGGCAAGCTGGTAAATGATTATGGGGACTTTCTCATCCTTTCCTTAGGGGTGACTTTCAAAGTCTCCTCCTAGAAACTTGATGTTTATAAAAGAAAGGGTTCAGAAGGACATAGGCTGAGAGAACTAGAGCTCTGTGAGCATGACTGGGTGACAGGAATGCTGCTGTTGGACAGACATGGGGGCCAACCAGAATTGGTGTCTGTGTCCCTGAGCGTGAAGGCCCAAGATACCCTCAAATAGTATAGGCACCACCCTCTCCTCCTCCCTTTGGGTCCTCAAGCAAAGGTCAAAGAATCAGAAACTGTCTTAGTTTGTGATCTGCCACTCACTAGCTATGCTTTATCCCCTAAGAGCCTTAAGGGTTTGCATCCAAAAAATCAGACTATGAATTAGATGGACTCCTGCCTCTCAAACTGTATTCTGCAGGTCACTGGTGCTAAGAGATTATTCTGCAAAGATCAGACAAGTTTGGGAAACAGTGCACCCAACACTCTTGAAGATTCACAGTACACACCAGCATGTGTGAGAAAGCTGTGAGAAACATAGTTCCCTCCATGTCTGATCATGGAAGTTCTTCCACCTCCCTGCCTCCTGTGTGACCTATTAGTGGTTGTTCTCTAGAAAGTACTTTGAGAAACAGTGGGTCTCCACGATGTCTTCCGGGTGAGAAGTCCTGTAATAAACGGTTTGAAGACCATAGTGCCACATAAACAGAGGCTGGGGGATGGAGGGGTGGGGGAGGGGACAGTGTCAGGGCTGGAGGAGCAGCAAGGGTCCTGGGTTTCTGCCACAGGGAACCTACATACTACCCCTGGGCGAGGGCTTCCCAGGTAAACTCCCAAGGACGCTGCTGACATCCCAGCTGGGAGAACGAGATCTTAGGGCCCAGTTGAGGAAGGATCTGAAACCCAGAAGCAGGTTCCAGGCAGTTTTGTCTCAGTATCTGTAAGTTGCTCCTTTTTATTTTTCCTCCTCAGCCAAGGAACGGAAGAAACACTGAAGATAACACTCAGTAGGACAGTCCGAGGTCAGCGCCGTTGCAACTGTTCTCCAAGCAAACATGTCTGACCGAGGGGGAGTGAGAGGCAGCCAGAGGGGTGGCAGTTCAAAAGGAGGAGGGCCACGTGGAATGTCAGGGGCCCTCCATCCCCTCCCTTCCCTGCTCCACACCACAGAGACCCCCACCGCAGTCTGGTAGAAGCTGTCCCGAGCACACCAAAGCAGCCTTTGCCCGCTTGCTGGCTCTTTGCAGGGGTCTCCAGCAGGAGCTATGAGGGAATAAGAGGCCCATGTGGCCCAGCTGATCCTCAGGATGTCTCACCTGACCCTTCTGATGAGGGAAAAGCACACCCCCTCTCCTGGGCAGGCTTGGCAGGGGAGGGGCAATACCTTAGAGTGGGAACATCTCTGAGGCAAGGCTACTCCCTCCATTCAAAAGTGTTCTGAGACCCAGAGTTTAAATCTGCAGAGATTCTTGGTCTTCAGGCCTATGGAGGTGAAGTCCATGTACAAGGGCAGCTCTGGGCCTCCACTCCCTCTCATGATGGTGTGGTTCCAGGGACATGAGGTGGCTGTCCTTCGGAGGTGTCACTGCCTCCCTCCTGGAGCCTGATCCTAACCAGCCGGGGCCTGGGCAGGCCAGGGTACCTGAGAAAGCTGTCCAGATGCTGGGAGACAGAGCTCCCCAGCTGAAAGCAGGGGAAGAGGTTCCCCGAGGCCATGGCACTCAGCCTAAATGGCCCAATTAGATACTGCAAAATAAATAAGTACCGATTTGGGGCATTTATGACTTGTCAGACTGAGGCATAATTTTAAAATATGTTGTACAATAACATGCCCACAGGCCTCTTCTTGATTCTGATAATGATTTGATCCAAGCACTGCATTTTTCTCTTCTTTTTCAGAATTCAGTGACAAAGAGAAACTGGATCAGATAAAGAAATTGGGCAATTATTTTGAACACATGTCAACTTTCTGTGAGAGATAAAAGATAATTCTCTTGCTCTGTATTCACTAGAATATTCAGTTGTATAAAAAATAAACAGCATGGACACAATATTTTCATTTCTTATTGGGAAGTCTTGTGGGAGGGAGAATATATATTTAATATATATATTGATTAAATGTGCTGTGTTGAATTGTTTTACAATGCCCCAGATATCTTGTTGTTACTGAGAATTGAGAGCCCAGGCTAGGGAGAGACTGGCAGGCTTCATGTTCTGATTCTTTCACCTTTTAGCTGGGGGACTGTGGGCTGGTCACTTCCCATCCCTGTGCCTCATTCTCCTCCACGGTAAAATAGAGTTGATAATAATAGTGCCTTCACATAATTTTTGTGATGATGGAGGAGACCATCTATGAAAGGGCTTAGCAGGGTCGTACACAGCAAGTGCTCCATAAGCATTGGCTGTAATGACACTTCAAAGATGATTTTTATGACACAAATTGTACCAGAGCAACTTGCCCTAATGACAGCTGCTTCTACTTCACTGACCAGGGACTTGAGGTTACAATACCAAATTAACATATAACAATTACAGACCCCCTAGGAAACAGGGCAGCTTGGGCCACCTGGCGCATCCTAGGGCCTAGAAGCACAGACCGCCTTGAGTCAACCTCACACTTCTGTAACAGTGTGAGCAGAGCACAGCCCTGGTGTGCAGCGCTCCAGCACAAGTCTGCAGGAACAATCTCGATCTTTTGAAGTGGCCAAGGATGGCTGTTTCTACCCCAATCCAAGCCCCAGGATCCTCTTCACTCAATCAGTTAAAATTGATTACACCCCAGTGGAGGATCATACACTTGGCACAGGCCTGCCATGGGCCAGCCTGGAAGATGATGGTTGTGGGGGCGAGGGGTGGGCAAAGAGGGCCACAGCTTCTAAGGAACACTGTTTGAGCTAAAAATTCTTCCTCTGCCAAGCCAGACTCCCATGATGGGAGATGGAGACAGTCTCTGCAATCTCAGTCATCACCTCATTCCTTTCCCCCACAGTAGTGACTGGTGACACTCCACCAGTGCCAAAAAATCCAGAGAGGAAAGCAGACTGTGATTTAAGCTTCAGCTTCCACACTGTGACAACTTGTTCTCCCTGTGTACAGGGCTGGGCTATTTTTAGCCTGGTGTCCTATGAAAAGGAAACTTATGATATCAGTCTATCCAGGTGTCCCATCAAATAAGACTGAGTCCTAGGCCCAATGTTGGTTTCTAGAGGGAGAATGCCTGCCATCTTAGCCCTGATGGTCACTTTATAGGGAGAGGCCATGCCTCAGCTCACTGCCCAGGCTCCTGAGAGCCTCAGGAAGACCAGGGGTCTGAGGCTAGCCAGAACAGAATTTGAAAGGAACTCTCAGAACCTTGGAGTGGGCAGAGGCCTCGCTGATCATTCAGGCCCACCTTCTTGTGAGCTGAGAAGGAAAACAGCCCAGAGAGTCCAAGTGACTTATTCATGGCTACAAGGCTACTGTCAAGCATGTCCAGAACAAAGTTCACATTTTTCAATTAAAGACTAATTGCTGGGGCACCTGGGTGGCTCAGTTTGTTAAGCATCCTCCTTTGGCTCAGGTCATAATCCCAGAGTCCTGGGGTCAAGCCCTGCATCTCCTTCTGCCCTGGTTGTGCTCTCTCTTTCTCTCTCTCTCAGGTAAATAAACAAAATATATTTAAAAAAATAAAGCCTAGGGACGCCTGGGTGGCTCAGTGGGTTAAAGCCTCTGCCTTCGGCTCAGGTCATGATCTCAGAGTCCTGGGATCGAGCCCCACATCGGGCTCTCTGCTCAGCAGGAGCCTGCTTCCCTCTCTCTCTCTCTGTGCCTGCCTCTCTGCCTACTTGTGATCTCTGTCTGTCAAATAAATAAATAAAATCTTAAAAAAAAATAAAGCCTAATTGCTTTCTTCACTCTGACTACTATCTCATATTAATTTTCTAGGACCTCCATAACAAATTTTCTCAAGCTTATTGACTTCAAGCAACAGAAATGTATTCCCTTATAGTTCTGGAGGCCAAAAGTCCAACATAAGTGGATCATTAGGGCCATGTTCCCTCTGAAGACCTTAGTGGAGAATTCTTTCTCAACTTTTCTAGCCTCTGGTGGCTCCAGATGTTCCTCTTGGTTGTGCAGCTTAACTCTAATCGCTACCTCTGTCATTGTGTGCCCTGTCTGCCTTGTCTTCTCCCTTTCTTTTCTCTTACACAAATACTCTTTAAACACTGATAATGGCACACAATTTGTTACTCTTTTTTCTCAAGTCACACTTATATTAGTCCTTTTCACTGTAATCTATAAGTCTTCCATATTGTTCTATGAGTCTGGTATGCATTTTGGATATTTTCTTCTGATCTATCTTCCAGTTCACTTAATCTCTGTTCAGCTGTGTCTCTTATATTATTAAAGCCACCAGCTGAGTTCTTAATTTTGGTTATTATATTTTTCAGTTCTAGAATTTATATTTGCTAATTTGTTTATTTTCCAGCTTTCTGATGAGATTCTCAATCTTGTCACTTTTCTCCTTTAACGTAGTAAGAATAGTTTTTTTTAGAATCTTTCTTGTGAGTAAATTGTCTAGGTTCCCTTTGTGTCTATTTCTCTGTTCACTATTATCTCAATTTTTGCTTGTTATTCACCCTTACTCTTTTTTTAAATACTTTTTTTTATTATGTTATGTTAGTCACCATATAGTACATCATTCGTTTTTGATGTAGTATTCCATGATTCACTGTTTGCATATAATACCCAGTGCCCCATGCAATATGTGCCCTCCTTAATATTCATCACTGGGCTCAGCCATCCCACATGGCTTCTCTCCCCTCTAAAACCCTCAGTTTGATTTCTGGAGTCCATAGTCTCTCATAGTTCATCTCTACCTCTGATCAGCCCCCCTTCATTTTTTTCCCTTCCTTCTCCTAATGTTCTCCATACTATCCCTTATGTTCCACAAATAAGTGAAACCATATGATAATTGTCTTTCTCTGTTTGACTTATTTCACTCAGCATAATCTCCTCCAGTCCCATCCATGTTGATGCAAAAGCTGGGTATTCATTCTTTCTGATGGTTTGGTAATATTCCCTTGCATATATGGACCACATCTTCTTTATCCGCTCATCTGTTGAAGGGCATCTTGACTCCTTTCACAGTTTGGCTACTGTGGACATTGCTACCATGAACATTGGGGTGCATGTGGAACTTCTTTTCACTACATCTATAGAGTTCTTTGGAGCCCTGATGAAATTGCTGAAAGTTTTTCATGGGATCCTCCATTGCACAGCCTTGACTCCAATGATGACTAACATTGCTGTCCAGTTTTTCAGTTTCATATCTGCCTTCCTGAAGCCTTCAGATATTCATATAAGAAATACACTAGCCCCAGTGTTTATTTCATGCTTCTGGATTTACATCTTAATCAGCTCTTGGGCCTATAAGTCTTAACTGCCACATTGTCCTTCCTGATACCTATTTAACAGAGAAAGTCTTCAAAGTCCACAAGGACACAGATATGAGTGATCACATGATTTCTTAGAGCAAAAGAGTTGGAAAGAACCCAGATGTGCATTAACAAGAGAAGAAAGAAATATTATAATATTCATATAAATGACATTTATATAGCAACAAAGATGAATGAACCACTTGCATAAAGTTAGAAAAGTCTTAAAAATCATGATGTTGAATGAAACAAGTGAGATGTTTTTTATAGCAATACAACATTTATGTAAGTTGAATACTGTGGTGAGAACAAATAACAAATTTAGGAGACTAGTAATTCCTGAGGGTAGGAAGACTGACACAAACAAGGAGAGCCACAGTGGGGCTTCAACTGTATTAATAATCTTTCTGTTGGGTATTAATTATTTAAAAAGTAATAATTTATAAATGAATTTATGTGGAAGTATGGAGAAGGAAGAGATTTTTTGTGTCCAGGAAAATCAAGGAGAGAGGTGGTTCTTGAATTGGTTCTTGAAGCATCTGTAGGATTTCTCTAAATGGCAATAGAAAAGAACATCCCTGATAGAAAGAATAACAGACATAGGTGGGAAAGTGTGTGTTCAAGGGACTGCAAGTAGCAGGATGGTATCTTCCTGCTTTCCCACCCCTGCCCACACACACATGTACAATCTTCCCATTAGGCTAGATATCACTTGTTGAAACTGGGGTGAGATGAGATTTCAACACCTGGGAGATCAGGCTATGGCCCATGTTGAGGAGCTATGACAAGCCACAGCTGAGTTATATGGACAGTGTGCATGGCCTGGCAGCCAGACTGCCTGGGTTCAAATTCTACCTCTGACTCTATTCGTGTAGCCATGGCTCATTAACTCACCATTCTGTGCCTCAGTTTCCTTACCATTAATGTGAGCACAAAAATAGAACCTATCCTGTATGGTGGTTCTGAGTATTAACAGAGTAAATACTTGTAAAGAATTTAGAACACTGCCTGACATATCATAGGTATTCTGTTGGTATTTGTTATTTATCTTCATGGTTATTATTACAGCACAAGCAAAGGAGACTGTCCGAGGCCCGTTGCAGGGAAGTCATCCTGACTGGGCTCTAAACTCTTTCTCTCTCTCCTACATCAAATTAGTGATTAGGCTTTATGTACCCTATAGATTTCTCCTTTCTGAATTTAAAAAAAAATAGAGTAACTGAAACTGGGCTAAGAGCTCAGCTCTGTCATTGGCTACACCCTGTGTATAATACCTTCTTACCATCTTTGATAACTTACTTAACTTCTCAGAGCATTAGCTTATTCAGCTGTAAAATGGGACAAATGATAGACTCTATTATATAATAGTGCTGTTATGCTTAACCATAGGAATGAATGTAAGTTCTTAGTAAGTGTGCTGCATGCACAATTTACAAACATGTATCTACATGCTAATGTTATATCATAGATACTGTGCAGTACCTTTCCATTTGTGAAGACCTGAAATAGTTACATTTCCTGAGTAAGCACCCTTTTGGGCATTGTGGTGAGTACTTTATATTACTTTATATTATATTGCAAAGTAATGTATTAGAGAAAGGCTAGTTACTTCCACAAAAAGATCTT